TTTTTTTTTTTTTTTTTTTTTACAGTACTGTCATTTGTGTTTGGGGAAAAAACTGTTTCAGAGTTCACTCTAATCTCTTGTCCCTGAAGTAGTGAGATTTTCGCCCCGTTACTTGCAGGGAAAGAGTACTTGACTGCTACTCAGTCATGTTCGCCTGAAGGAAGTCTTATTGTTTTGGTGAGAACAGAATACAACACAATTCTAACCATGTATACTAAATAGAAAGACCATTGTATTTCTTGGAACTTACCCTCAACTGCTCATATTAAAGTGGGCAGCATTATTTATTAGTAAATAGATTTTAGATTGATGCTCCTGTCATATTTTGAGAGTTATTCTCCCTTCCTCAAAGTCTGCTAAAGTCTCAGGGATAGCTTCCTCTAGTTTATTGTTTCTGACCATATGGTTTTAATTGTAATTTTTCCTTTGTGTGTGTGTGTGGCTGTACTCCCGATTTCTGTGTGTGTGTGTGTGTGTCTGTGCAGCTGTTTTTAATTCCAACTTCTGCAGCTGTGATGGGGGGAGAAGAACCAAGAATTACGTAAGAACTCAACATTTTATGACATTTTGTGAGGAGGTAAAACAAAGCCTCCCTTGAGCTGAGCTGAACTCCTGGTGATTACAGACACATCCATGTAGTTTTCTGGCCAACAATATAGAATGATTGCCATTTTTGGCGTATTTTTTTTACTTTCCAATTTTGCCTCCAGCCTTGGAATTCCCTGGTGGTGTGTCATCCAAGTACTGACCAGGTTTGATCTTGCTCAGCTTCCAAGTCTGGACAGATTTGGCCAAGTGCTGCCCCCTCCTGAGATGAGTGTAAGGGAACTCTGTTTTCTGACAGCGGGGTGGTGGTAGTAGAAATGTGAGTGGCTTACTAAGGGTCGTTTTATCTCCTCCCTCCTGAGAATTCTGAAAAACATTCTTGATGTTGCAATCCAGCACTTTTAGCAGAACTCACAGAGTACACCAAATTTCTGTTCTGATGGGTTAAATTAATACTACTGGCTGCCTCTGCAATTCCTCTTTAAAGCCACTCCCATCCAAGCTGATTAGAAAATATGAAGATATAGGGTGGAACCCACTGTCAACAGAAAATATTTCACTCTCCTAATTTTTTTGGATTTCTTCTTCCACTTTTCAAAGTGTACTGGGTGATAAAATAAATTAGTAGTAAAGTAACATGAACCCAGTGTAAATTCAATTGGACAATTCTAATTAAATTCTAATTAACTTTTCCAAATGACTTTTATGGAAGCAGATAAATTTATGTGCAAAATTCTTCAGACATGCTAAAATTAATGCTATAATGTACAATAGCACCTCTATTATTTTTCTTAATGTAAGGAAAATGTACTCAATTAGCTATGTTTAAAATAATTATATATTCTAATAAAATAATTTCCAAAGAAAGGTTGAATCTGAACATAACATGTTGAATATACTTAATTACATCTCTCTCCCAGTTTCTGCTCTTTTCTGCCAAATAAATTGTTTAGTTCAGCTATTAGTAGAAAGATTTTGCAGATATTTACATAGTAGACATTCATAATTAGCTTTGTTTCATAATTTAAATAAAATTAACTTGTAATAAAAGTTTTGCATTGACTTAGGGCACTGGAAAACTTTCTTCAAAAGATTCTAATGGGAACTTTCCCAGAAAACTCACATTTCTACCTAAGAAATAGGTGCTTACACAGTAATACTTGCATGTTTTTGAAATAAGTTTTGCCCTCTATTTCTATCATGATTTTTTTTACAATTCTCTGTATAGTAGTTTCATTTTGAGGGTTTTCATTTTTACCAATTTTCACCTTTCTCATTAATGGAAAACTACCTTAACAATTTGCATTTGTCCTGCAGTCAATAGTACATGTCTTTCAGTAGTTACAATTAAAAGTTTCAATGTGGTCAAAATGATTGGGAGGGCAATACTTTGTACTCAACTGTACAGTATATAGTGCTAATTTAGCAACTTGATTTTTTTTTTCCTTTTTGGCCAATGAGAATACTCTTTATCTTAAGATAGCGAAAATCAAAGAAAGCAATCAAATTAAATGTTTTGTATGCTTTACTGAGAATTCTTGTAACTCAGATCTCTTTTATTGTCTCATTAGTTATATGATTAATATCAAGAGCCTGTTTAGTTGACACATGGAAGAATTAGTTCAGAAAACAGAGCTTACAAATTCTGGTTACTTAATGAGGATGTGAATGTTGAATTAGACACTCCCTTGGCCTGTTATCTTGTTCTCATAACTGAGTAGTTGGACAGTGCTATTCTGTCGCCCTGTTTAAGATGGCTGGTGAAGAGGAACAAGTTGCCCCATGCAAATTACTTAGTATCCTAGGATCCTTCATTCCGCAGCTGAACAATGTAACAAGGATAGCGAACACAGCAACTATTACTACTAGCCAGACAGAGACTATTCCCTCTAGTTGCAACAACAGGGACAGACTACGCCCCTAGCAACCCTGACTGGAAAGGACCAATCAATAGGCCCAACTTGGACAGCAACTCAGACTGATGACGCTTAACCCCTTGTTTCCCCATCCGTGAGGCAATGACTAGGGTGGAAGATACAAAAGGCCTTTCATATGATTTTCTCAGCTTTTAATTTGCAGCTCCGTGGGGACAAAGTGACCAGTGGGAAACATGGGTTCAAACCCTCCATTGTGTTTTGATGCTGAAACAAAGATAAGAGGCACCAAGAACTCAGTATAACACACAAAACATTTTGATATGTAATTGTGCAGAAGGTACTCAACAAGTGTAATTGGGGAAAAACAAGGCATTGGGGAAAAAAATAATGGGGGGGGGGTTCTTCAACATCTTACGGAAGGCCTATGAAGGGAAGTTATATTTCTAAGGAAAAACCTAATCCAACTAAAAGAAGAATGGGTTTATTTTATTAATGTTTAGCTTCACTGATGTTGAATTGTAATGCATGGTTTATTCATTCATTCATTCATCCATCCATCCGTCCGTCCATCCATCCATCCATCATTCCTCTTTGTTCTCCCTTTTTCATATGTAAACCTTTTTTTTTAAGTCTGAATTAAATTTAGTCCTTACTAGTAACTTCCAAACCACTAGCCAGTCTCTATGAAGAGCAGCAGTTGCTAGATTTATGCATAAGGGAGATCCCCATTGGAGCCAGGATTCAGTGAAGGAGTAGAAATACACTTTCTGGTAACCTTGTGTATAATAAAAAGCAAGTTCTGCTTGTGCCCAAGGCATGGTCTGTCCCAAAGGTTACACATTTCACAATTTTAATAACAGAGTGAATAGCCAGATAAAAGCAATCTGAATGGATGGTATCTCCTCCTGTGCTGTATTTTTTAGTACTCCTACTTTGACTGCATCTCTGTTCTTAATCCTTCTATAGGGGTGAATCTGCAGGGCATTTCATGTACAGAAAAATCACTGGTTTGATTTATACCTGCCTTTCTGTTCAAGGTGGTGAACAAAATTTCAAACAAGACAGAATATAAAGAGTTAAAAATAAGGATTAAAATCAACAATAAATAAAAACTTAAGTTCATAATGGTTACACAGTCAGTTTTGGGAGCTGTTTAGAGCTATAAAGGTTAGTGCCAACATCTTAAGTAAGTGTTTGGTGATTTGCTCCTCTTGCAGTTAATACCACAGCCCTTTTAAGGTGTTACTTTCTCTGTGCTCAGTTCAGTTTAGGACAGTTCCAAGTATCACTCTTCATTTTGGACATTCATATGATTTGGTCTTATCAGTTCTGGGCAACATCATGGAAATTTTATTATATCCACCAGCAAGTGTGATTGTTCTCCATTTGCTTAATCTCTAAATTGGTCTGTCCCTCTCTCCCAACTTCTTCTCTTCAGTTGTGATTCCTTTCTTCAAATCCTTTGCCCTCTCCCCACTTCATTCTCCCTAGTTTGATCTGTCATTCCATTTAAATCAAGTGTGCCTAATAGTAGGAATCAGTAATCTTGAAGTACAGCCTAAAATACATTTACTTATTCATTAAATCAATTTATATAGCCGCCCATCTCACCACAGGCAACTCTGGGAGGCATACAACAAAGCTAAAAACAGTAAAATACATTAAAAATATATAAAACAGAATAAAACAGAGAATAAAAAGAAGTTAAAAATAAGGGAGCCACCTCACTAATTCCCCTGTCCCCTGGGGTCCCCAGGCCTGCTGGCATAACCAAATCTTAAGGGATCTCCAGAAGCTCAACAATGATGAGGCCAACCTCACCTCGGGAGAGGAGATTCCACAGTGCAGGTGTCACCGCAGAAAAGGCCCACCACCTGGGGCCTGCCAAACGTAGCTCCCTGAGCGACAGAACCTGTAACATGCCTTCTCTGCTGGATCTGGTAGGACGGGCATATGAAACTGGGGAGAGGCTGTCCCTCAGATAGCCAGGCCCCATGCCATGAAGGGCTTTAAAGGTCAACACCAGCACCTTGAATTGGACCTGGAAACAAATTGGTAGCCAACGCAGCTCATGAAGCACAGGTGTAATGTGTGTTCTACTAGAAACACACATAACTGCTTACACCGCTGCATT